AAAAAAAAAAAAAAAAAAGAGAGGTTATTTAACATGTGAGCTAAAACTGACTATCCTTCATTTATATGTACATTACAAATTCCCTAATGAGGCACATTCACTGGTGAAGACCCAACATACATCACCTTATGTATTTATCAAAATGAGTCAGCCGGGATACATTTTTAGCAACACACTGAGATGGGAAAAATTACTCCACAAACATCAAAATAATGAACTACAACTTTATTTAAAAATTTTATCATTCAACATCTTTACTTACTCATAATACTAACTAATGTGATCGTATTACTACATTTGCATAAGGAACTAAAGTATCAACAGAAAGTCTAGTTTATTCTAGTTGTTACACCAATGTACCTGTTATCTGCCTCCTTTAATACTATACCTTTAAGAAATTAAACTCATGCTGTTACTATGTAAAAAGATTAGAGGTTTAAATACTCTAAAATAAAATTCCTTTTAAAAACCAAATGATGCTAAGCAAAATTAGTCAGAGAAAGACAAATATCACATGACTTCACTCATATGATGACTTTAAGACACACGGGAACACAGATGAACACAAGGGAAGGGAAGTAAAAATAATATAAAAACAGGGAGGGGGACAAAACATAAGAGACTCTTAAATATGGAGAACAAACAGAGGATTACTGGAGGGGTTGTGGGAGGGGGATGGGCTAAATGGGTAAGGGGCATTAAGGAATCTACTCCTGAAATCACTGTTGCACTGTATGCTTATTTCAATGTAAATTAAAAAAAATAAAATTTAAAGTAGTGTAAAAAAAAAAAACATATTCCAACAAGTGTTAGTGATTAATGGTACTTATTTTTCTGAAAAGCTTAATATTTTGGAAACTCAAGCCAAAGAACACCTAGTAAATGAGATAGTATAATCTCATACTGACCCTTTGTGGTTTATTGAAGTATAACATAAAAGCCCTGTGGTTCCAGGTAACTATTACTGGGAACACACATTTTGCTGAACACAAATCCACCAAAATTCACTTATGACATGAATAGTACTGCAGCTTATCAGGTACCTTTATAAATATCTCAGTTTCAGCAAGAAAGGTATTATTAGTCCCACTTTCCAAACAAAAAAAACAGACCCTGAAGATTAGCTTATTTGTGTCATTTACTATGTACATTATATAAAAGACCCTTTATATTTACACACATGCACATTTATGCAGATACTCGTGTGCATGCATATACCAAGGATTCAGATAGCAATACTCTATTTGAGACTTTCAAAAATACTATGGCTAAAGACTTACAAAATATATACTATATATTAGAATATCAACTGTCCTCCATTCAATTAGCAGTAAAAAAAAGAATATATCTGGGGTGCCTGAGTGGCTCAGTCGGTTAAGCGTCCGATTTTGGCTCAGGTCATGATTGTGTGGTCCGTGAGTTTGAGCCTTGCATCGGGCTCTGTGTTGACAGCTCGGAGCCTGGAGCCTGTTTCAGTTTCTGTGTCTCCCTCTCTCTCCCTCCCCTGCTCATGCTCTCTCTCTCAAAAATAAAGTTAAAAAAAAAAAAAAAAAAAGAATATACCCAATTTTGATGGTAAGTCCACAAAATTGGCACTTTTACTTATTGCTGAAGGCATTATAAGCTGGTACAACCCTTTTGGAAAACAATTTGGCAATTATCTCAAGACACAAAAAGTGTTCATGCCTTTTCCTAGTAATTCCATTTCTGGGAAGTTATCCTATAAAAATAATTCAAAATATGGAAAAAGCTATAGATTATTTATAACATCCTAGATGCTTGGCATCTGAGATTTAACATTTGAGCATTTGAGGTTTTGACACTGGTAGTTTTAACAACTTGTGAGAGAACCACAGGTTGATCCACAGCATATGTCAAGTTGCTATGTGAATGAGAAAGTCACAGAACTACCGAGTGAGCTTGACTGCCAGTATTTAGCTTTCTTTGTGGTCTGACTGCTCTCTAGATGCTCAGAAACATTTCTACAATGGGGAGAGAGGGAATGGACATGTTCATTAAAAAACTGTTTAAAAGTAAAAAGCCCTATGGGGCACCTGGGTGGCTCAGTCGGTTAAGCCTCCAACTTTGGCTCAGGTCATGATCTCATGGCTCTTGAGTTTAAGCCCTGTGTTGGGCTCTATGCTGACAGCTCAGAACCTGGAGCCTGCTTCAGATTCTGTCTCTTTCTCTCTCTGCCCCTCCCTTGCTCATGCTCTCTTTCTCAAAAAGTAAATAAACATTAAAAATAAAAGGCCCTAAAATAGTAAGCCAGTTACTTGGCTGGTGATGAATGTGAAGAGTCTAAGAAAGTACTGATATTTTTAGGTTAAAATTAGTAATGGTCTTCAGTCACATTTCTTTCCAATACCTTAAGTCTACCACAGTGAAAGATCAGAAATATGATTAAGTGTTCAACAACAGAGAGATGATAAATCAATCCATCTAATCACTCAGTGGCTGAATTAGGATACTGGAATTAACAGACAATTTTTCATTTTACATTTTCAAGATATTTTCTGTGACATTAATATTACATCTAGAAATTAAACTCAAGATTAAAACGTACTGCTAAACAGAAAAAGGAAGAGTTCACATTTCATTTCATAAGGTCTGCACTACCCTGATACCAAAAACACTGCAAGAAACAAAAACCATAGACAAATATTCCTGATTAACATAGGTGTAAAAAAATCTAACAAAACATTACTAAATTAAATTCAGGAATATGTAAAAAGGATAATACACCATGACCAAGTGAGGTTTAGCCCCAGGAAAACTGTATTACTTATATCTTCCAGGTATAAACAAGTATAAATATCACTTTTTTGTAATTTCCCTATACATTAATGTAGACAAAGGTTTGATCTGGTCCACTTGACAAAGCTGAAGTATTTGCTATAAAACTTCTCAATCAAGTTTATTATAAATCTGCTTTCTCAGTCAATTCAACACTCCAATTCAAAATGTTCATTTTAGGGGTGCTTGGGTGGCTCAGTCATTTAAGCGTCCAACCCGTGATTTTGCCTCAGGTCATGATGCCATGGTTCATGGGATTGAGCCCCACGTCAGACTGCACTGACAGTGCAGATCTTGCTTGGTATTCTCTCTTCCCCTCTCTGCCCCCCACCTGATCATGTGCATGCATACTCTCTCAAAATAAAATGATAAAAACATTAAAAAAAATGTTCATTTAAAATATCTTCATTCAATGAGCTCATTCTAAGATTAAACTGTAATTACAATGTATTTTACTTAAAAGACAGAATTTAACATTCCATGGAATTATAAAGAACCTCAATCATAAAGTGAAAGATGTTCTTCACAAACATTCTCAAGTGGAATGGTTAGATCACCTTATTGTGAGACTTACTGAAAAGAGCATCTAACCCCTTAAAGCAGCCTCTTTGATTTTTTTGGTGGATAATTCTAATGATTAAGAGAATTACTCTTTATATTAAATTAAACTCTACCTTCCTTCAATTTTTATTTACTAGCAGAAGTACTGACTTCTGAGATAATAAGAGCAATTAAGTCTTCATTAATACAGTCATCCTGCAAATACTTGAAAATAACCAGTAAGTCACTTTGTAGACTTTTCCTCTCCAGGCTAAACTTGAGTTCTCCCAACAACTGTTTCAATAACACTACTAAATTTCATTTTTCTTACCACCATTTCCTACAAAAGACAAATATTTAAAATAAATGGGCTACAACGTAGCACCACATTTCCTACAGGAATATGCAGGAGATGTGTCCACCCTAGGAATTTTATTACACTAGTCAAACAACTACCAACTATCAAACTATGCTAGTTTCCCCCCCTAACAAAAATCTATGCAAACATTACCAGTGAAAAAACATACTAATTGTATGAAATAGATACAATTGAATATAGAACACTTAATTTTTTTTAAGTTTTATAATTTTTTGAGAGAGAGAAAAATGTGAATGCATGTGTGTGTGAGCAAGAGAGAGGCAGAGAGAATCCCAAGCAGGCTCCACACTGTCAGGGCAGAGCCTGAAGGTGAGGCTTGAACCATGAAATCATGACCTGAGCCCAAATCAAGAGTTAAACTTAACCGACTGAGCCACCCAGGCACCCCAAGAACACTTGATATTCCTACAAGTTGTTAATACTCTTTGATCTAGAGATGAATTGTGGGAAAAGAACTGAATCCTGGTCAAAAATTATACCTAACTTTAAAAGATATATGTGTATGTTGTACACCTGAAACTAACAACACTGTATACTAACTATACTGGGATTTAAAAAAAAAAAAAAAAAAAGATATACATGTATGTAAACAGCAGTAATCTGCAAAAACAATATTGGTTCCAAGGGTACATGTTGCTTTGCTCAGGTTGCTGAAAAAATGAGTATGCTAGAAAACAATCCTCATTTATAATAGCTTTTATCTTTGTTTAGCTTTGACATGGTTTTAATTAGTATTGTACTACTCTAAAAAAACTGTTGAGCCCTTCAAGGCAGTTATAAAAATCACTTACTATATTTCTTTGACTCTTCACAGCAAAACTGAGATGGAAAACTATGTATTAATGTATTTTGTGCTAGTGAAACCTCACTAATTAAGGTCTAACAGGGGTTATGGAAGAAAAGCTCATTTATGAATTACATATTTTAAAAAGAAGTTTAATGACCTTAGAACACATGGTGCCTGTATTCAAGTTTGTACATCTTGAGAATACTGGAATCAAACCTAGGAAAGGTCTATCTTCATAAATGGACAGAAATACTTTACAGTTAGTAAATCAAAGAAACCAATCAAGAATAAAGTGGCAAGAGTCTATAACACTACTCCCTAAAAAAAATTAAATGATGTATGCAAATACCATGTTAACTTCCTCACCAAAATATTCCTGGAAAATAAGATTTGTTTTTGTTTCTAAGAGTTATTCTTCTTTTCTTTCATATCTAAAATACCCTCAATGATCCTGAAATGAAGAAAAATAAATGAACATAGTAAGTATATAATTCTTACCTGGAACCCACTTAATTTCCATTTCCATATCATTTTCTTTGCCTTTCTTTTCTTTTTCTTGAATAACTTGCAAGAGCTGTTTGTATTTAGCAATTTGTTCTTCATCATCCTTCTGACTTTTCTTTGTTTTCCCATCTTCTTCCATATTGACTTTAGCATCACCTAATAAAAAAAATCAATTTTATCTAACATACAGAAATAATTGACATTTAAATCTAGTATTTAAATCTCACAGTCACTATAGCACCTTCTAAAAGATGTTATTAGATATAATGCAAAAACAGAATACCAAAATCAGACAAATTTCTTAATATTAAATGAATTCATTGAAAGAATTAGGTCTTGTTTATAATAAAAATCATTTGCAATATAAGTTCTAAGTAGTATACTTGGAAATCTCTCTTTTATTAAAATTCATATTTCAAAATAATTTTATAGACATGTAACATCCTTGGACTTCTCTTCCCTATAAATAAGACAGCAGAGATAGCTTTTTATCCCTCTTTACATCTTCCACTATCTGGCATAGTGGCTTTAAAATGTTATGGTCAATACAAGGGTGAATGTTGTTGGGATGCATGTGGTACATGGATATAACTGTTATACTGAAGAGACAGATAAAGGAAGCTGTTTGTAGTCCAAAATGAACAATAAAGAGTCTTTTCCATTTGATATGCTTACTCTCAGGATCTCATTAATACACTGAGAATAAAAGCGAATAAATTAGAAGTTAATTCAATTAATATCCCTTTGTGGAAAAATATCCACATTTCCATGTCTTAATTTATAAAAATAATAATTAGAATACAAAGAAACAATATAAAATTCAGGGCAACAAATACCAAAGAAAACTAATACGTGAAAAGTTTGTTCGGTCTATATTTCCACTGTAATTTTCCAAGTCAAAAAAACATAAATTAAGAACCTAGGTTTTAATGCAAAACATACAGACTTATTGAATTGACTAAATGTCCCTGGTAAAGGAAAATTTAGAAGCAGCATAATGAAGACCCTCTCTTCTATAAGCTATGGCTAGCCAGTCACTAAAAACGTCTAATATCATCAAACATTTAGCTGTCAAACATCAATGTTAACAGATTGCCCTCACATCTTAAAAAAGGTGACATGGAAAAAACACTGGTTAAGTAAATGTTTTCATAGTTTTTTTCTCTAAATGAATAAAAAAATAGTCCAGGACATTCTTTCCATCCTATCACACTTTTATATTTTCACTCAAACAGCTGAAATTCATCTTTTTCCTGTTTGTGCTTTGTGCCACAAAAATAATGTTGGATAGAATTCTGTCATGTATCCCATAACTCAATGGATAAAACATGAGGAACACATTAACAAAATGGCAATGTATTTCTTTCTATTAAAAGCTTACTTCTGAAAACATAATTAGAAGCAAGCTCCTTCCAGGTTGAAATTTTAGTGGTAAGTCTCTGATGGCCTACTTTAAATTGATTTTTTCCAGTACTAAAATTTTACTTTCCAAAGCTCTAAAATGTGGGATAATTCATGTAAATCTGTTTTTTCCCAATTCAAGGACAATACTTTGTGAGAGCCTTAATACTATATAAGGAATGAAAAAAGTAGTCCAACAGTAAGAAGCCCTGTGATGATCTTTTATAAACAACACCAGGAACATCTAGTAACTCTAAAGCATTCAAAAATACTAATGTATCTATCAGAGGCACTACACTGCAGATTAAAGTAAGCTGGCAATCAATTAAAATAATGAAGAAAAATGCATGCTTTTAAAACTTAATAAGTAGTATATTTAAAACAAAAAGCCATTAATTCTTAAAGTTTTAGAAGTAAAAATATATGATACATGGTAGTATGGTAAGCACTTTGTGACCATTATCTCAATCTTTCCAAACATGAGCCAGGTACTATTATTATCCTCATTTCATAGCTGCGGAAAGAAAAGCACAAGGGCTTAGGAAAGTTAACCTATGTAACTTTACTATGTGGTAAACTCAGGATTTGAAACCAGTGGAGCACAAGATCTTAAAAATATACTACACATCACATTTTTGTCCAAATGTCAGTATCATTTCAAGTCTAGGTCAGTTCTCTCAAACCAATCAAAGAACTATTAACGTTCTTCACAAATATACATGTTCTCTTCTTTCCTTTAACTTAGAGCAGCTAGTGAAGAAAAACTATTCCAGAATTATCAGAAAGTGATAAATGACCATACAGGCATGTGAATAAAAAGAATCTATAGACAAATCAGTATGTATATGAGAGAAAGACAGGCTATTTGAAAAAGGACTTGGTTGTTCTGATCATACTAGAAATAAAATGGTCACTCAATCTGGAGTTGAGTTTGAAATGCCAAAAATTAATAAGCAACAGTCACTGAAGCCTGAAAAAAATGAGAAGGCTTTTATGCCCAACATAACTACCCTTGCAAATCATACTTTTTCAGAGACTATTAAATACCTAAGAAATTATGTGGTTTTATTAATATGAGATGTCTGAACAAAGAAACTAGGATGACTTTTCCATTCCATGTGTGGAGTACAATTCACGTTATGAAAAACTTAGAAAAATAATGCAGTATCTTCAGTAGTCTAAAAAATGACAGGCCAATCATAGGATCTCAGAAAGTTAGTTTAATGGTCCTATGATAATACTAAAAAGAATTTTATGGCACAAAAACAGACACAACAGAACAAAGAACCCAGAAATGGACCCATAAACGTATGGCCAACTAATCTTTGACAAAGCAGGAAAGAATATCCAATGGAATAAAGACAGTTTCTTCAGCAAGTGGTGCTGGGAAAACTGGACAGAGACATACAGAACAATGTACCTGGATCACTTTCTTACACCATACACAAAAATAAACCCAAAATGGATGAAAGACCTAAAGGTAAGACAGGAAGCCATCAAAATCCTCGAGGAGAAAGCAGGCAAAAACCTCTTTGACCTGGGCCGCAGCAACTTCTTACTCAACATGTCTCCGGAGGTAAGGGAAACAAAAGCAAAAATAAACTACTGGGACCTCATCAAAATAAAAAGCTTCTGCACAGCAAAGGAAACAATCAGCAAAACTAAAAGGCAACTGACAGAATGGGAGAAGATATTTGCAAACGACGTACCAGATAAAGGGTTAGTATCCAAAATCTATAAAGAACTTAGCAAACTCAACACCCAAAAAACAAATAATCCAGTGAAGAAATGGGAAAAAGACATGAACAGACACTTCTCTAAAGAAGACATCCAGATGGCCAAATGACACATGAAAAAAATGCTCAATGTCACTCATCATCAAGGAAATACAAATCAAAACCACAATGAGATACCACCTCACTCCTGTCAGAAAGGCTAACATTAACAACTCAGGCAACAACAGATGTTAGCGAGGATGCAATTCTGCATGAAAACTGATGCAGCCACTCTGCAAAACAATATAGAGGTTCCTCAAAAAATTAAAAATAGAGCTTCCCTAGGACCTAGCAATTGTACTACTAGGTATTTATCCAAGGAATACAGGTATGCTGTTTCGAAGAGACACATGCACCCCAATGTTTATAGCAGCACTATCGACAATAGCCCAAGTATGGAAAGAGCCCAAATATCCATCGACTGATGGATGAATAAAGATATGGCATATATATATATACAATGGAATTCTACTTGGTGATGAGAAACAATGAAATCTTGCCATTTGAAACAATGCGATGGAACTAGAATGTATTATGCTAAGTGAAATAAGTCAGAGAAAGACAAATATCATAGTGATTTCACTCATATGTGGAATTTAAGAAACGAAACAGATGAATATAGGGGAAGGGGAGCAAAAACAGATAAGATAAAAGCAGAGTGGGGGAGACAAACCATAAGAGACCCTTAAATACAGAGCACAAATTGAGGGTTGCTGGTGGGGTGTTGGGAATGGGTGATGAGCATTAAGGAAGGCACTTGTTGGGATGAGCACTCGGTGTTATATGTAAGTGATGAATCACTAAATTCTATTCCTGAAATCATTATTACTAACTTGGATTTAACTAAATTAACTTGGATTTAAATAAAAAATAAATTAGATAAATTAAAAAAAAAAACGGAAAAGAAAAAAGAAAAAAAAAGGAAAAAAAAAGTGTGAACCATAATGTAAACAATGGACTTTTCGGTGATACTGATATGTCAGTGTAGGTTCCTCATTTGTAACAAATATGCCACCTCGGTTAGGGATGTTGATAATGAGGCAGGCTGTGTGTATGCATGTGTTAGGAGGGTGGGCAGAAGGATGTGGGAACAATGTATTTTCAGCTCATTTCTGCTGTGAACTCAAAACTGTTGTAAAAAAATATAGTCTATTAAAACAGAAGAAAAGAAAGGCTCAAGAAAAAAACAAAACAAAACTGGAGTAATGTAGTCCCAGAATGACCAGAGTAAATGAAAGTTCTCTCTGATTAGATACTCTCATCTCAACTATCAAATTAGCACACAAGGTTAACTACATATACAAGGAAACAAAAATAATAGAAATGAACCCAAAAAGACTTAAAATACTGAAATCATCAGATACAGACTTTAAGAAGATACTTAACTCTGTTTATGGAAGTGTTGAAAATATCTGCAATGAATAGAAAATTATATAAAGTGGTATTGCTGTTTTGAAAAATGGCCAAACAGGGCTTTTGGAAGTCTATCAACAGATTCAACACCACTGAAAAGCAAATTAGGAACTGGAAGATAGGTCAGAAGAAAACAGCAGAATGCAGCACAGAGAGATGATAGATCAAGAAATATACAAGAGTAGCAACATGGAAGTTACATTGAAAATATCTTATATACATACATGTATATACGTGTGTGTGTGTGTCCACACACACATAATTAGAGTTCCAGAAAGAGAGGGAAGAAGAAATGTGTGACTAGACAATGGTTGAGAAATTTCCAAAAGGGATCAAAGATACCATGGCACAAATGCAAGAAATCCAATAAACCCGAAGCACACAAATAAATCTGTTAGTTCACAGTAAAACTGAAGACAAAAAAAAAAAAAAAAAAAAAAAAAAAAAAAAAAAAAAAAAAAAAAGAAAAAAGGACAAAAAAACTTGAAAAGTAGTCAAAGAAAAAAGAAATCCAGGAATCTAGCTTACCTTCAAAAGACTGAAAAAAGTAGTCACGAAAAAAATTCTAGACAATCTTCAAAACACTGAAAATGTCAGACAGGTGATTTCTCAAAAATGAGGAAACTACAAGTCAGTAGGATATTATCATTATCATTAGTGTGGGGATGGAGAGGACTTCCTAGAATTTTTTTTTTTTTTTAACTAGTGAAAGTATCTTTCTCAAATGAAAGCCAAACAAGGATATTTTTTTACTAAAACTCAAGAGAGTTTGACACCAGCAAACACTACCAGAACTTATCAGGGATATATTTAAGACAGAAGGAAAATGGTCCTTAGAAATATGACATTTAGAAAAGAATAAAGAGCAAAAAAAAGTGAAGAAAATGTGGGTAAAATGAAATAGGGCAGTTTAAATATCAATATCCCATGGAACTTATAAAAAAAGACGATTACAGGGGCGCCTGGGTGGCGCAGTCGGTTAAGCGTCCGACTTCAGCCAGGTCACGATCTCGCGGTCCGTGAGTTCGAGCCCCGCGTCGGGCTCTGGGCTGATGGCTCAGAGCCTGGAGCCTGTTTCCGATTCTGTGTCTCCCTCTCTCTCTGACCCTCCCCCGTTCATGCTCTGTCTCTCTCTGTCCCAAAAATAAATAAACGTTGAAAAAAAAAAAAAT